AGACGCCCTACTATTGATATTGAATTATTTCATTAACAAGAACCTGATTGCATTAATTTCTTTTATAATTTTTTTCTCTTGATTCTTCAGATTTTGCTCTTTTGTTCAACTTGTTAAGCTTTATATTTGACCAATCAAATTTGGCTATCTTTTATATGAACTTCTTGTTATTTTGTTCGAATTGGCTCGAAATTTCTAATATATATTTTTCGCTATCCATGATTAAAAATATTTTGGTCAGGATATATAGCTAGTTTATATAGAAAACCATTTAGAACTTATGTATATAGTTTCTTTCGTTATTTTCTCGATTCCTCGTCTTCTCACTTATAATACATAAATAAATACATGAAAGTGAAGATGGCCAGAAGAGGAAGAATTAATTAGTCAGTCACCGGACTGGCAGCGTAAGCAGTTGCAGAGGAAGCCAAACCCTTGAGAGAGTATTGTTTGTTGCGGTTCATATCCCATGCTTGCATAATATAACATATCCGAAGCTCTTCACCTGAAAATATGCATGCAGTGTTACCATTGAAGTGAAATGCACACAAGATTCAAGTGAAATGCTAATTTGAAATCTGTTTTAAGTATTATAAGACCAAACCTTCTTCGACATCGCATAGAATGTATAACCTTGCATCTACATTCTGGAACCTTATTATGTGCGCATTGGGATCTGTGGACATTCACACTAAGCATCACTCTATTGTTCACAAAATAGGTGAATTTATTTGTGTGGCGTGTAATACAATTTTGTAACGGCATAATAGATATGACCCATCTATAATTAGAAAAAATCCAGGCAAATTACAAACAACAAACCAAAAAAAAAAATCGACATAACAACCTTGGAATTAGTCTCTTTTTTTCTCTTACAATTTCATTTAACAATTGCAATTACAACGTATTTTCAAAAATTTGGGAAAGATTGGTAATAGCAAGAAACTACTTTTTAAAAATATATATTTAATTTTGTATATAAGTGTTTGGTCGGATTTTGCATCCTCCGGGGGGGTAAAAACAATTTTGGCTTGGAATAGCCAGCAGCACAAGGTGGAGACTCGTCCATTAGAGAGTGAACATGTACTTAATCCAAGTGCTCTTCTCGAGTAGTTGCCATCGTGCTTGGACTACCTACCTTTGTATATACCTCCGAAAGGAGTTCAAGAGAAAAATAACTTAAACGTAAACCCTTAGACTTAAGTTAGCTCTTAACTAATCAGACAAGTAAGAAGACGTGTTGTGACTAATTGTTACAAAGCGCACAACGAATGCTGAAAAAAATAGCATTACCTAACGCAGTGAAATCCTCTGCAACAACTTCCACATGATAATTTCATTCTCTTATATCTTCATGTAAAGCCACCATAATGGGCAAATCAATCATCCATGAAAAACTTGAACCTAAAAGAATAAGTGAAATGAACCAAACGATACACAGAGTTTCACCAATATCCTTGACCATGTCAGAGCTGACGACGCTTCTCAGCTCAGGTGGTTCTGTCTTTGAGATCTTTGCCGGTTTGCTAGTATTGCATCTGGTCTACCAAAGAATTAGAGCAAGCGTCAAAGTTTACTTACTGATTTCACTTGTTACCGAGCACCTGACTCAAACCGCGTCCCAATGTCAACTCTTATCGAAACCATCTACCTCGATGACAAGCTTGATCAAGAGAGTATTGGACTTCCAAGCCCGGATTCTTGAGAGGTCCTGGTTAAAGTAACCAAACCAGCATTCCTCCTTCCTTGATGGAAATAACCCCTCAAGAAATCTTCTTTCCTCGGTCAAAATCGAGACCATGACCACTATCTTCACCCTGTTGAGGATCTCTCCTGAAGAAAAACAAACTAGAAGCCCAAGAAGCATAGACATACTGATAACAAACTGTAGTTTGCATTCGGCCTTCACCGTCTCTAAGTGCAATGGTGATCAACAAATTCCATATGAGAAAGCAATATCAAGAGCTTTAACCTGTCCGGGATGGGTTGTGCGGCTGGGATTCTATCAGTAGGTTTGGCTAATGACTTGCTAAAGGTTCACCGAGGCTCCTTGGCTCTTATTGTAAGCACTGAAGCGCTGAACACAACATTGGTACATTGGCAAAGACAGATCTATGCTTCTTACCAACTGTCTCTTCCGAATGGGAGCAGCTGCAGTATTGATGTCGAGCAATGATCATGACAGAGACAATGCAAAGTATGAGCTCTTGCATGTTGTCAGGAAAAATAAAGCCAAAGATGATCGAGCTTACCGATGTATCTATCAAGACATAGACTCTGATGAAAAGCAAGGGGTGTCGATAACCAAAGATGTAATCAGCGTTGCTGGAGATATGCTGAAGATGAATCTAACTTCTCTGGGACCTTTGGTATTACCTTACCTAGAGCAATTCCAATATGTGATACGACAGATTCTTTGCAAGAAACTAAAGATCTATGAGTCGAGTTCTTCTTATACACCAAACTTCAAGACAGCGTTTGAGCATTTCTGCATTCATACAGGAGGAAGAGCTGTTATTCAAGCAATGGAGATGAACCTGAACTTGACAAAAGTAGACATCGAGCCATCAAAGATGACTCTTCATAGGTTGGGAATACTTCTTCGTCATCCATTTGGTACGCTCTCTCTTACTTGGAAGCAAAAAGGAGAATGAAAAAAGGCGATAGGGTCTTGCAGATTGCATTTGGAAGTGGGTTCAAGTGTAACAGTGCGGTGTGGAGATGCATCCGAGAAGTGGAGCCCAATACAGAAACAAATGGCTCGACTTTATCGACTCATATCCTGTAGACGTACCTGACTCTACGAATATCAGAACAGGCTAGCACGAGCAAGTAAAAATCCTTGAAGATAGAACTCAGGAGGGTTGTGAGTTATTAGTTCAATTCATTCACAATCTACACAAAGACCACTTTCACAGGTTTTGGAATGTTGTTTGGTCTCATTTTCACCCTCTAAGACAGAGAAATTTGATATTTTACTTTTCACATGATCCATGTTTATAATCTAGCTGAAACAATAGCATTTGAATTTTTGACATAATACATGACCACGAACCGAGAAATATTGAACCAAAAAAGTTGTAACCGTAAAGCAAATATATCTACCATGACCACCGATTTCCACTAAAATAATCAGTAGAGCTAGATCTGATTGAAACAATCAAAGCCTTGTTGTCATATTAACAAGTAATAGAATGCTGCATCTTCTAAAGAGAAATTGTTGGACTCAACTTTTTTTTTCTTTAACCATACAATATGAGTATAGCAACAGGGTACCTCTGTTGTCATCTTTTTTGTTCTCAATATTCTCCTAGGAATTATCATCTCCAACTCTATATGCAACAAACAAAAGAGATTATAGCTACCCCTCCTTGCATACATTACTGTTTATACGGTCAGCCCAAGAACCTCTGGAACATCAAAATCTGGCAGGTCTTCAGCGAATGTTGGACAGTTTTGAACTGGTATCATATCGGTATTTGCCTGTGTTGTGTCAAACAAAAAAAGTATTTAACATCAATCATTGTTGTGTGACCATAAGAAAACCTAACACTAGCATTTGCCATAAAATCTGTATGGGTTCTACGTTTTGTATGGGGGACATAGAGGTTCTATGTTTAAGGCTATGTTAAACATTTTCACTTATCAATAGGCTTCACATGTTAAGATCTTAAAGATTGGTCAATACGCCTTCTAATTGTGGAGGAGCTTAGTAAACATGATATGTGGGATCACAAGTATGAAGTAAATGACAGAATCCAAAACATAAATGGGGAGGGAAAGTAAAAGCTGTTACCTGTCAACAAATCCACGATCATGAAGTTCGTTGCAGTGAGGGGTTGGTATCTTCTTGTTCCACCTCCGTTTTTGGAGCTCAATACGACAAGACTGGAAAAGAAAGTGTCTGTACTCTTTGATCACGTTGCCCTCAAGGTTGGCTCGAGCAGAGCTACCAAGCGGAAACTTCTCATCAAAGGCTGATGCTGATCTAACATAAAAGCTAATCTCCATATTCTGCGTCGTCTTTGGTATCTGATAAGACTGGTTCTTGTGCAGAGAATAGTCGGGCTCAGAAAAGGGTAGATAAGCCAGTAACAAAAGCAGAAAGAATGGTAGAATCTGAATAATCGTCAAACAGCTTGGTCCAGCCACATTAGGCTCCTCCTCTCGGAATTGGTTACGTGCTTGTCTAGTCCTATAAGCACGAGAATCACGGAACATATCTCGTTGTTGACCAAAAAACGCCCTGAATATCTCATCAGGATCAAACTCATCATCAAAGAAATCATTCCGCGTGTTATATCTCCTCCTCGGCCTACGACTCCGCCTCTGAACATGATCAAACTCATCAACAATCCCCACCTGATCATACTGGCTTCTCGAGTTACCATCACTCAAACAAGTAAACGCTTTCGAAACTTTCTTAAACGCCTCCTCTGAACCAGGAGCCTTGTTCTTATCTGGATGAACTTTCAAAGACAACTTCCTATAAGCTTTTCTAATCTCTTCAACCGAACAATTCTTTTCCAAACCCAAAATCGCATAATAATCATTGTTCCTCTTAATATTCCTAACCAACTCCACATTTTCCTCAGTATACTTGATTTTCCCAGTCTCAAGCTTATCATCATCATCACCATCCACAGTTTTAAGCTTCTCACTACAGACGAATTCCTCGAAATTGAATCCAGATTGTCACAAGCAGCAATAAGTTCATCAATAGAGAGACTTGGATTAAGCCGTTTCGCCATATTGATAAATTTCAACGCTCGTTCTTTATCACCAGAAGCAATGGCGTCTTCGGCGATTCTCAAACAACGAGACGCATCATCCTTATTACCATCCATAACTATTCAAATCCCTAATTCTTCTACACTTCGATTTCACAACCTTACACGAATTCAACAACAAAAGAGGCTAAATCAGAACTGTTCTATAAACCCTAAGCAAATCGAAATCGAGCTTCAATTTTGAAATTCCGCGTACTAATATAGAAAGTGGAAGATTTAGGAAAAGTACCAATTCATACGACGAGAGTTCTCGTCGCCATGGTTGAGAGTTTTGTCGTCGTAGGTGGTGATGAGCCAGGAGAGAGCTAAAATTTTGAGTCTAATTAATCCATTTTAATGTTAAACCTAACGTTAATCAAATATTAACACTACTACTTAACACTACTACTAATCCATTTTAGAGTTTTCACGCGTACTATAAAAACATTCAATTTTTCTATTTTATCCCTAATTAATATATATTTTATTTGATATCGTTAATAAATAAGTTTAAAGAGTAGGATAAAATTGGAAAATTTGTCAAACCTCTACACTGAAAACAAAAAGCGACAACTAATTTAAAATAAAATTTAACTTCTAGAACGACAACTAATTTTAAACGGAAGGAGTACTATTTAAGGGATGGTTAAGAAATAGTGTAAGCAATCAAACAATTGCGTTTTCGAATGCTAAAAGTTACCGAATTCGACTGAGGTAAACGCTATAGTCTTATCAATAGAAAGAAGAGAAATCGAAGAAATAAGACTATTTGAGAGAGTAAAAGTGATTAGAAATTTTTTAAAACTTGTATGGCTTTTTTTTTTATTATTCACAACCTTATACCGGTATACTTTTTTATCCTTACTGAGAAAATTTATTTTATTTTTAAAATCAATGGATGTAAGATTGACAAAGTTTAATGTTAGGTTTAGAAATATACTTCTAGATTAATATTTGTACGATAGTAATGGATGAATTATTGAATTAAGAGTTTGATTGGTTCTTCCTCTTTCACCTGGAAATATTGTGGTTGCTATCGTTTAAAACCAATCATAGAAATCGTTTTCAACCTTTCGGAATCGCTTTAACCCGCTTGAAATCTCTTTGTACCGCTCGAAATTACTAATTTCAAAAGCTTTTTCCGCAAGCATTTGCGGTTGCGGACGATAGCATGTGACCAAAAAATATCACATGAACAATAAATAATTAAATAAAATATTATCAAATCATATATATGTTAACGTTAATTACCAAAACCCTAATTTTGTTTCTCTCCATCAAAATCATAGCGTCAAGCCAAACTGAAGAAAAGCAAGATACAAATGTAAGTATTATAAAAATACTGTTTTTTTTTTTTTTGGTGAAATTATAAAAATACTGTTAATCTAGAAGATTTACGAATTCAAACACATTTTTTTGTAGGTCTTCACATTACTTAGTGCAATTTTTGGTGATGAACCAAATGCACGAAGTAATAAGCATTTCACTATGAAATTTATTTGTTTTTGAATAATTATGTAGTACTTTATTTTGGTATTTATTATTAATTATGAATGAAACAAATTATATTTTATCATAATAATATAACTAGATTTTAACCTGCGGTATATTGCAGAACGATTTGTTTTTTTAAATTAATAATTTTTTCAATTTAGTGGTTATATATTATATAAAAAGTTGCAAATTATATAATTTTATAAGACATTTATATTTTATAATTTACAATTATTAAATAACGGTATACCACAAAATAGTTTTTGTTTTATATAATTTTATTTTAATTAGGATCATTCGATATGTCTAATATTTGTGGTGTTAAAAAATAATAAAAGGAAGATTTAACCCGTATTAAAGCAGCGGGTTAACGATGTTTAAATTTTTTGATTCAAACCCGTCCGGTCATATAACCATTTCCTGCAATATAATCATCTCGTGTTATTTTAACTCTTTATATATGTTCAAATGTTCTTAATATTATAAAAATTTTATTGATTTTAAATATATAAATTATAATATTTAAAACTTCTTAAAAACTCGTCACGCCATATAACCCCGTCTCGCAATATAACATGTCTCGTGTTATTGTAATTCTTTATATGTGTTCAAATGTTCATAATATTATAAATTTTTATTGATTTTAAATATATGAATTATATTATTTAAAACTTCTTAAAAGTCTAAAATTAAATATTTTCGGTAAAATTAAGCAGTTCAATTAAAAATTGAATTAAATGATATACAAACTTTTAAATTTGTCACGCATATAACCCCGTCTCGCAATATAACACGTCTCGTGTTATTGTAATTCTTTATATGTGTTCAAATGTTCATAATATTATAAATTTTTTTTGATTTTAAATATATGAATTATATTATTTAAACTTCTTAAAAGTCTAAAATTAAATATTTTCGGTAAAATTAAGCAGTTCAATTAAAAATCGAATTAAATGATATACAAACTTTTAAATTTGGGTGTTTGTTAAGTTAAGCTTCCTATTCATTCGGATTTGAATTCATTTTGATCTTAGGGCTATATTAATTAAAATACATAGACGATTGAAAAACCCAAAATTAACCATGATTATTTTTTATTAGTTCTCTCTCTTTTGACTCAATTAATACAAAAATTACCCTTTATTATATGTGCGCGCTAACAAAAATAATAACGAGGTAAAAAGTTTAGATCTAACATAAACGGAAAACACTGTTCACATATCGTCGAAAACAATATTCATCACCAGAGACAATAAAAAAACAATGATTTGTGATTAACTAACAGTGTAACTAAAATTGTATCGCGATAAATGTATAAGTTATGTGATAAACACATATTTATCGTGTTAAATCATTTATTATCTGATTGATTAGCAATATAAATCATATTGTATCACGATAAATTTACAAGTTATATGATAAACTTATATTTATCGTGTCAAATTATTTATTATATGATAGGTATCAACTAACTTATATATTAACTTCAATAATTTATTTATTACCGCTAATTTACATATTAGTATATTTATTTATTATAATAATTTATTTATTAGGGTTAACCTTTTTATTATCAAAAAAGAAACTTCTTTTCTCGAATATTCTCCCCTGTCTTCACGTCTCTGGAATCTTCTTCCTCCTCCATTGTTACCTGCAACTCTAATCCCAATTTCACCTTCCCACCTTCTCTTCTTCTCCTTTTCCCACCTCTTTGTCCCCTTCCATCTTCACCTAAATTACAAAAACATATTTTACATCCCCAAATTCTTCAATTGAAAAGTTTAATCCATCCCAAACTCATGTAAATTAATTATTTCCTTTTCTTTCCTTGCCTTTGTATCTCTGTTTCAAGCTCTTTGTTTTTGTGAATTATGTGGTGATGATTGATTGATTGTGTGTTGCGTATATAAGCGATGGAAGTGACGAGGCAAATGCAAAGTTAGATATAGAATTTGTTTGTGAAGAAATGGAGATGACGATGAAGAAAGAGAAGGATTTAGAGGAGAGACTGTGATCGGAGATAACGTCGGAACACCCACCATAAATAATGTCAAAGAAAATTCATGGAGGATGAAATGAGAAGAGAAACAATTAGATGAATAAAAAAGGGTAAAAATGTCAAAATAACATTCTCTCTCTTGTCTATTTAATCATATATATAAAAGTAGGGTTTCAATCTCTTGTGATTGGTCCACTTGTCATTTTTATTTTAAAAATAATTCAAAATTTTTAAACCATTAAATCTTATAATTAAATCCTATTAAATCTTATAATTAAATCCTATGCATTACGTTTATTTTCAGAATCACTTAAATCAAATATTAAATGTATGTTTAGAGACAAATATTTATTGCATTAATATAGGGATTACGTTTGTATAAGGAAAAGTCAAAGACTCCAAATAATTATAGCATTAATTTAGGGTTACGTACTTACGTTTGTATAAGGAAAAGTTCATGACTCCAAATATGGAATTCATGGTCGTCAGCATTAATGGTCGTCATCATCATGATAATTGAAAGTGAAACGTCTTATACTTTTTTTTTTTTTTCTCAAACACCATTTTCATTAAGATATCGGGAAGAGACTTTCCGCTGGGGAGAGTCATTCAGGAACCGACGAACTTACATGGGAAAATAGACTACAACGAGCCCGAGCTTTTTTAGCTAGCCAATCTGCTCTAGCATTAAGATTACGGGGAATAAATCTGATACTAAAGGAAGGGAAAAAACAAGTGAGAGACCGAAAAGAGGCCAGTTCTGCAGCAAAGGATGGCCAATCTTCTTGGTTGTCGAGGAGAGATACCAATTCAGAGCAATCAGAAGCAAAGGCGCTAGCAGTAATGCCTAACGAGGTCAAACATTCCATTGCCCAAAGCAAGGAGTCCAATTCTGCATGGAGCGGCGAGAGACTTCTTCGCGAACTCTTGAGACAAATGTGTGAGATGATGTCCGAGTCAATCAAGACCCAACCATGTCCACTTAGGCTATCCTCCAAATGTCAGGAAGCGTCTAGCTGGCATTCTGATAAACGGGGGGATAACGCAAGGTTTAGTGCCGGCCGAACGGGAATATCGGGATCTACTTCATCTTTCGAAAGTGCTTTCTTCCAAACTGAGGCTTCTCTCAGTGCTAAGTCCAAAGTCTCCAAAGGGGGTTCTTTGACATTCTCAAAGATGAAACGATTACGGCTTTTCCATATATACCAGAATATCCATGGAAAGAGTTCTAACACATCCTCTTCTATTCCAAAATCGCGACCTCTCCAGAAGAGAAAATCAAAATTATAGAATAGGGAATTTCTCGGGAAGATGTGCCCGGATGAGGGAATTGGTGATAAGGCCCATATTTGTCTCGAAGGCGGACATTCAAAAAGTAGGTGGTTAATAGATTCCTCAGCAGCTATATTCTACATTGAAATTTATTTTATGATAATTCTATATTCTTACTTAAATCATTCACCTCCTATATATAAGACTTCATTTCTTTATTTGCAACGTACCAAAAAAAAAAGGCAACTCCTCTCCCTACCTTCACGTAACAATCCCACTAAACCAAATGGCCATTACTCCATTGAAAGAGCTTGAAATAGGTCGCCAATTTCAGTCTATATGTGGTCGACTCCTACGCAAATGGCAAGCTAAATCTTTCCATCAAAATGTGAAATTTTTTAGCCTAGACTTTCTGCTACTAGACCAACAGGTACAATCTTTTAATAATTTAGAATACTTTTACATGTCTATCTAATAAAAATTAATGTTGCAGTCTACTTTAATCCAAGTAACTATACCCCAATACCGAGCTTATCGCTTCAGAGATGATCTTCATGAGGGAAAAGTTTACAATATATCAGAATTCCAAGTGGATGCTAGCTACGGAAAATACAAACTAACGGATCATCTCCATGTCATTAAATTCTTAGATGGCACCATCATTAACCCTATTGAAGAAACGAGTCCTCCAATTCCTAATGAGATGTTTAGGTTTCGACAATATAACGAATTATGGACTCTCGCCGGAACAAACCATCACTTACCTGGTAAAGTTTTGGTTACTCTATTTTACAAGACCCATTTCTTATCAATAAATTCCACATCTTATAATTTGCAGATGTTGTTGGAGAATTAACAAAGATTCAAGGATTCAATCTAGAGGACCTATCATGCGATGAAAAAATAACTGTATACCTTTTTTGGCTGAGCAAGCAGAAATTTACTTTTAAAACATGTATGATTTACTTTATTTATTTTTCCACTAATTTTTTTTTAATTTGGACATTTTCATAGTGGGAAAAATGTTCGTGTCATGGTTTGGGATGCTTCTAATCATAACTGCTGTCAACCCAAAATCATATGGAGGTACATGAATGTTGCATTATTGTTTTAACGTTTAGTATTTTGCTTGCAGTTGACTCTCCCTATTGACATCTATTTTGAATTATGTTTGGTATAATATTTATTTTCAATTAAACTTAAAATATAACACATTTAATCATATACATTAATCTATACTTTAAATCTACACTTTACTACTCAATTTTAACTGAAATACATAATTGTGAATTGACTACTTTTTTCTCTATTCATTGTCATTTAAATACACTATAATTATAATTGTAACTCCGATAATCTAATTCGTTTAGAAATGTAACTTCCATCACTTATTTTCCTATAAATAACCATTCTCACATCCTCCTCCTCCATATCTCAAATCCTAAATATTCTCTTTGTTTTGTTTATGTTCTTGCATGAGTTGAAAACTCAATTAAGATATCATTGTAAGAGTTTGATTATATAATTTTTAAATATATATCTTACATTCTTTTCAATTGTATTTCTTCTTTGTTTTTTATGTATTTCTTCCTTCTTTTTTGTTTTTTAATAATATTTTAATTTAAACTTACATATGTATATTATAATTTTGATGGCTATAGTAAAATTATATTCCGACCATAGCGCAATAAGGGAAACAAGGTAAAGTAACTATCTTCATTTTTTTTAACTTTGAATGTTTGATATTTCTTACATATTCATGTATATTTATTTTATTTTTAAAAGTACGTATTGTTTTAACGAAATAATTTTTTGTAATACAATTATCAAATTAATTTTTCTAACTCTCTCTTACCTCCAAAAAAATTGTAATTTTTATAATACAATTTTTTAATATACCCATCATTATATTTAGTTTTATTGATTCACCATATAATAATGTAAATATCATTAAAAATTTTATTTAATTCAAATTTCGTAGTGTAAGGATTTTTCTATATATATAAACAAAAAATTGATATTCCATTTCCAATTAGCTTGTACTATAAAGATGAAATCATTTAATACATAATGATTTCTTCACAATGAATTCTTTGGAATGTAACATAAAATTTTATGATATAAATACAATTAAATTACTCATAAATGACATTCAAACATGATTGTAAAAGTTTTATAGTATCAAAAACAAAACATGATTGTGGAAGTTAAATAGTTATCTAACGTAAATATGCTTTTATTACAAAAAAATCCCTATAAATATTAACACACACATCTCACAAACCATCATATTCCAAGTTTTCTATTATCGGTAAATTGTATAACATTTAATCTTCTAATTCAACAAATGGTGTTTCAATATATATATTTTTGTCACTTTTGTAAGAGATTGTGAAGAGGAGGTGACATGAAAACAAGAAATTCTACGTACGGTCAATCGTTTGTGCTACTTTAGATGTCTTTAAAAAAAAAGAGTAGAGAAGATGCATTATTGTAGGTTTTCTTTGCCGAAAACATTCATTACATTCAATTTATATTAACCTAAATTTGGGTAGACTCAAATAAATTTGATATTCTTGCACAAAGATTAAGAAGAAAATCAAGAAGACAAAAGACGAGAAGAAGGAGAAGACTACTATATACAATGAATGTCATTTTTCAGATGGTTCTCTTTTAGTAGTTGAAATTTAGTAATGCTTTGGAAAAAGGTAAGTAAAACATATATTGAACCAAGTTGTAATCTCAAAAATATTAAGTGAAAATCTTAAGTCTATATATTGAGCTATTAACTATCTCATTCATCTATTATTTTTATATATGCTTTATTATTGTTGTATTGCTTACAAAATATATTTCATTTATTTGTTTTACATAAAGAAAAAAAATATGCAATAACCCACGCGTCGCGTGGGCAAACATCTAGTTATATAAAAAACATAGATAGAAACTTAATTATATAGTCTTTTATGGTCATATAGTGTAGATACCCTTGATCTTATCTATAATATGATTCCAAATCATTGTCAAAACATTTTAGCCAATAAAGACGTTGAGTACACACACCTTTTACATCAATTGGGTAATATATATCTGTTTTACAAAATTTGAATCACAATATATGAAGAAAAAATAATTGAGATTTTTAAAATTTATGTATTATATGATGATTTAAAATAGTTTTAAAAAAAAAGTTCAAATAAAGATGATAGGAGAATCGTATTTTAAATCTTAACCAAATCTTCTAAATATCTATATTTTTAAATATGGAAAATCCGATTCACAATTTTGGATATGTTTTGATCCGATCCAAAGAAAAATATGGAATATCTGGTGTAAGATTTTGAAGTAAATTTTGTATCGGGTCGGATACAAAAAATTTTAGATAAATTTTTAACCCACCCAGTACAAAATGTACTTCAAAATACTAGTAAAGATTGTATGTACTTTATATTTTTTATAATTATAGTTTATATTTATTTGGTCTTTTTAATTTAACTGATGTTGCATCCGATGGTTAGCTAGTCATAAAACTCCAAAAATGCACCAATTTCTAACCGCTAAACCAGTCGTTCAAAACGCTTAATAACACTTGAAACTACAACCACCCGCTTCTGCAAACTCCCGCAATCGCAACCACCCCCGCTACATTTAAACTAGTTAAGCACTTAGAATCAGTTCAGAATTTATGATTATTCGGTTTGATTTAAGAACCATATTTTTTGGTTCGAAATCTGTTTGTTTCAGGTTTAAGGTTTTATAACTAGGTCTACAGCTAATACCTTCCATTTTTCGAGAGTAAAGGACAAAATTTTCCGCTGGCAGAGGGTTAGGAAGAAACTCTCTGATGCGAGTATGGGTCTGGACGACGGCGAATTCTAAAGGCGTTAATTGAATAGTTTTATAAAGGTAAAACCATTATTTCAATGAGTGTGCATCTATATTGACCTATATTATACATACAAAAATATATCACTGACCATTATGGTTTTCATGTTTTTTTTTTTTTTTTTTTTTGTCAAACAAAGATCTTCATTCAATAAAACCTCAAAAGAGGGAAGTTCATACACAATGAAACTAGGATAATACAGGGAAATAAAGATAGAAGCTTCATGAGTTTTCCAATGATTGAAAAATCTGTTGAGGCCTTAGCGGATTCGACCATGAAGGCGGGCTTCGCGAAATCCTCGACCACCTTGTGGTCATAAGTGGCTCTTGCAAACAATGCATCCGAGCTTTTGGAAAGGTGCTCCGCGGAGGAGGCTGACGGGTTAACGAGGTTGAAAAAGAGACGGTAACCACCTCTTGAAGACATGGTCATAATGCCGTACTTTTCCAACCTACCAGAAGATTGCAAATTATCCAAGCAATAGATTAACACATGACTGAACTCGATAATTGGTGAATGGGTAGGTAGAGAGTTGAAAAAGCTTCGGTAACACCTACTCCGTAGAGACAGGGTCATAATACCGGTCTTCTTAACTCTAAAGGCCAATTGCCTATGGTTGGGTAAGAGAGTCTCGGATAGAGTCCAAAGTAAACTTAGCATCTGATCTCGACAAAGGTAACTATCAATCCAGCCTAAACAAACCATTACTCTGTTAGCGTGGCGTCCATTACCAGCCAAGACAGAGTTAGAGGGTGCTAAAGGGAGGGAACTTGATAGGAAATTAATAATACTTGGCACGGGCAGCAACACTCTAGGACACTTCCAAAGAGAAATTAACTCCAAACGATTCAAGACCAGACTCAAACAATGAAGCAAACGGACCAAACGAGATAAACTATCGATGGTGATTGGATGGTGCTTGAAATTGTTAGATAGGATTGTCATAGAGTGAAACTTAGTCACAGATATTCCATGACTGCCTTCAAAACTCCGACAAATTGAGATTGGGAACAAAAAACCATAAGACTTCAAGCTTTTGGAATCATAGATCATAGCCATAGTTGAAGCAAAAACCAGGATTCTCTGAGAGTGATTGTTAATCCAAAGCAACGAAGGTGGTGAATTAAGCTTCATATGGCGTCCTTGACCATTGAAAACGTGAAGTCGACACAGACCTTGCTTAACGATTGACAAAATAAATAAAGTAGCAGACCTGGGTTTAATAGAAGTGGGCTTGGGCTTCATAATTGGTGTTGGGCCGAAATTGGGGACAAGGCCCACCAGACGAAACCCTAATCTTGCAACTGCATTGCAAGGGAGAAAGCAGATGCGGCGGCTGACCGGAAATGAAAGAGAGATCTGCGATGAAGAAAGCATCTCCGGCGATTGATTATTCGGCGATACCGGGCAATGACCGTGGTCCGCAGCAGAGGCAAAGAGACATGAAGACAAAGCTTTTCTAGGAGGAAGAGCCGTTGCCCTGAAGAAGAAATCGCCGTGCACCGTCGACGTCTCCATCGGGCATGGCGCATCTGATGGTCCAAGAGAGAGATCTCTTGCCATCAACGAAGCCCAAGTGGAGGTTTCTTCAGGGGGGAACAGAAATCCAGATCGAGAGGAGAGCATAGCGATGGTCTTTGGATCCGCCAACAATGTTGCAGCGAGTATAGAGAGGAAGAGAGTGATTGCCAGAAACCATCTCCGTCTTTTGTCGCTGGATAAAGAGTAGCCGTCGGGGATCAAAGGGTTCAAAAGAGTTCGAAAAGGTTGAAAAAGGTTGAAAAAAGTTAAAAATATTGGGGAAAAAGTTCGAAGGAGGTGCCCACACGATAAAAACAAAACGTTGCGTTTTGGTAAGGAGGCGAAAAATAGGCGACTAGGGTTTGTGATTTCGTTTCAACTAAGGTAGCTCACCGGCGCCGCCAGGCAGCTCCGGAGGGCAGAGATGAGTAAGACGGAAGGATCTACGGATCTCTCTGGCACACAGGAGGTGGGTTCATGGGTTTCGGTGGTTCAAAACAAGCAAACTCTCAAAAAATACGATCTAAACATTTCAACTTCGGAGGGGCAAAGTTCCGTGGAGATTCCTGATGAGGTTTTTGAAAACGTTACACCGCTCTGGGAGGATTTTCTGATAGGGAAGTTCCTAGATACGGCACCACATGTGGCTAAGGTTCATGTCATCGTTAACAAAATTTGGAAACAGGGGTTCGATGCGCAAAAAATTGACGTGTACGAAGTCAATTCCACAACTCTGAGATTCCGGGATAGCAATCCTTTGATTCGTGCAAGGGTTCTCAAAAGAGGAATGTGGAATATTGCTGAGGTACCAATGGTGGTCACTAAGTGGACTCCTAATGCGGAGAAGGAGCAACAGGAGGAGAAATCTGTTCCACTATGGTTTTTTTTTAAAAATGTTCCGATGAATATGTATTCTTGGGAGGGATTGAGTTTCATTACAAGCGCAGCAGGTCATCCGGTGCGTCTACACCCAGAAACAGCTGCGTGCTCACGTTTTGATGTTGCAAAAAATTTTGTCAACGCTGATCTGTCCAAAGAATTACCAAAAAAGATCAAATTCACAAAGAATGGCAAGGAATTTTGGGTGGATTTTGTCTATCCTTGGTTGCCTCCGAGGTGTTCTATCTGTGAAAAATGGGGACATCTTGATTCAAGATGTGTTGCCAATAAAAAATATTCAGCCGTAGGTTCTGAAATGAAGTGGGTGGAGAAATCTAAAGTTACTAAAGATGCAGTGGTACAGACTAGTACGCTGGAAACAGTTACCACTTCAGACAAAGTAAATGAAAAGGCACCGGAGACTGACCAGACAAGTTCAGAAAAGATGGATGATGTAGGAGAGTGGTCACAGGTATCTCTTTCAAAAACAAGTCGCAGCCCGAGTAAAGCAGTAACAGAGGCGCCAATTCTTGTTTCAGCATCAAAATTTTCTGTCCTCTGTACTGAAGAGGAGGAGGAGGGAGAACTTCAAGAAACAGAGGAAAAGAATGATGATGATGATGATGAGGATGGTGCTAAGGTAGAAGATGGACAAGCTACAGCTCATAGTGAATCTCAAGAGACAAAGGCAAATGATGAGGAAATGGTAGGGGGGAAACCACCTGTCACGCGTAACACCTCAAAGAAGATGAAGACTATTTCGGAGACCTCAAACCAGGTAACTAAGGACGTTGTTCCAGTGGTTGCGGGAAGGAGGTCCAACCGAAAAGCCCTCTAAATGTCGAGTTTTTCATGGAATGTGCGCGGATTTAATAAAACTACTAAACATTCCGTGGTCCATCATTGGACAAACAACAGTGAGGTGCAGTTTGGTTGCTTATTAGAGACGAGAGTCAAGGAAAAGAAGGCAAATCGTATTGTATCTCAAGTATTTAACGGTTGGTCATTTATGGCTAACTACGAGTTTAATAGGCTTGGTCGTATTTGGATTCTTTGGAGATCAACAGTGCGGTTAACTCCAATTTTCAAGAGTGACCAGCTAATTACATGTTCAGTGTTAATGGAAGGGGAGGAGGAGGAATTTTTCTGCTCTTTCATTTATGCAAAAAATTTGGCTGAGGAAAGGAGAAGTTTATGGGAAGATCTGAGAAATCATCAAGACTCTCAGTTGTTCAGAAACAAACGTTGGATGCTGATGGGTGATTTTAATGAAATATTGGATATTGAAGAACACTCAAACTTTGAACACTCTCCAAATATTCCACAAGGTATGAGAGATTTTCAAGAGGCGGTAAGACATTGTTCACTAATGGATATTGGTTCACATGGTCCATTATTCACTTGGTGTAACAAACGAGACGAGGGGGTAATTTGCAAAAAACTCGATCGGGTACTGATAAATCGTGCTATGCTCAACCATTATTCACAAGCGTACTATGTATATGAACCAGGGGGCTGCTCTGATCATCTACGGAGTAGAATTCAGATTCAAAGGGAGAAAGTGGCTAAAAGGAAGCCTTTCAAGTTTACAAATTCCATTGCGACAATGCCCGAATTCCTACCTCTACTCCAATCCTATTGGCAAGACACACCTACCCTGTTTCACTCTACTTCAGCAATGTTTCGTTTTTCAAAGAAACTTAAGAATCTGAAACCTCAACTCAGAAACTTAAGTCGAGAAAAACTGGGGAATTTGCAGAAAAGAGTAACAGTGGCGTTCAAAGATCTGTGTGAGAAACAAAAGGAGACTCTGCTACGACCTACAGATACAGCATCAAAGGAAGAAACAGAGGCATATCATAAGTGGAATCATCTGGCAGAATTGGAAGAGAAATTTCTAAAGCAAAGATCGAAACTCCACTTGCTTGATGTTGGCGACCAGAATAACAAAGTTTTTCATAATGCAGTGAAGTTGAGAGTGTCGAAAAATTCTATCAGGGAGATACAACTCCCGGACGGATCAATAGTCTCTAGCCAAGAGGAAATAAAACATGAAGCAGAGCGGTTTTTCTCAGAATTCTTAGGCCATGTACCTACAGAGTTCGAAGGATTGCCTGCTGATATCCTTGAAGAATTAATACCTTTCAAATGTACATATGCTCATCAATGTATGCTTGAAAAAGAGGTCACAACAGAGGAAATACGGCAGGTGCTTTTTGCGATGCCTGCGAACAAAGCCCCGGGACCGGATGGCTTTACTTGTGAATTTTTCAAATCAGCATGGTCAGTTGTCGGTGACGATTTCACAACTGCGATTCAGTCGTTCTTCATTAAAGGTTTCCTCCCTAAAGGAGTAAATACCACTATTCTTGCTCTGATTCCGAAAAAAGAAGATGCCAAGGTAATGAAAGACTATAGACCAATATCTTGTTGCAATGTTCTCTACAAAGTCATATCAAAGATATTGGCTAATCGATTAAAGTCTCTACTACCGGAGATTATCTCGCCCAATCAAACAGCGTTTATCAAGAACCGGCTCTTAATGGAAAATGTGTTGTTAGCTTCAGAGATCGTAAAGGACTATCATAAGGATGACGTTTCTCCTCGTTGTGCCATGAAGATTGACATCTCCAAAGCTTTTGATTCGGTGCAATGGTCTTTTCTGTTGGAGACACTTAAGGCCATGCACTTCCCGGGAAAATTTATACATTGGATTCAATTATGCATTTCAACGGCCACATTCTCCGTACAAGTCAATGGCGAGCTCGCTGGTTTTTTTGGCAGTAAGAGAGGATTAAGACAGGGATGTGCTTTATCACCATACCTGTTTGTGATCTGTATGAATGTCTTATCTCAACGGATTAACAAGGCTGCGGTAGAGGGTAAGTTTGGTTACCACCCAAGGTGCCATAACGTACTACTCACACATTTATGTTTTGCAGATGATTTAATGGTTTTTGCTGAAGGAACAAAGAGATCTATAGAAGGAATCATGTCTGTTTTTGATGACTTTGCAAACTGTTCTGGACTGAAAATTAGTATCGAGAAGTCTACCTTGTACATGGCAGGAATAGCTCCGGAAACACAAACAGAAATCCAACAGAGCTTTCCATTTGCAACAGGTCAATTGCCAGTACGCTACTTAGGCCTCCCTCTAATGACCAAGGCAATGTCAGCCCAAGACTACCTCCCCTTGACAGAAAAAGTACGAGCCAGAATAAGTTCTTGGACGAGTCGATTTCTCTCCTACGCGGGAAGGCTGCAGTTAATACGATCGGTTTTAATGAGCATCACCAACTTTTGGTCAGCAACTTTTTGCTTACCAGGAGCGTGTATGAAGGAGATCCAACAGTTGTGTTCTGCTTTCCTTTGGAGCGGACCAGATTTAAATACTCACAAAGCTAAAACATCTTGGGAAACTATTTGTTTACCTCGCAGTGAAGGCGGCTTGGGTCTGCGACCACTCAAGGAAACAAATAAAGTTTGTGGGCTGAAGCTAATATGGAGACTACTTGCTGCTCCAACGTCAATGTGGAGTAAGTGGGTTCATACCTACCTAATTTGGAAAAAATCTTTTTGGACAGTGAATGCAAACTCATCACAAGGATCTTGGATGTGGAGGAAAATTCTAAAGCTCCGGGACCTGGCCAAGAATTTTCATCGGGTTGAAATTAAAAGTGGTAGAGGGACATCGTTTTGGTATGATACATGGTCTTCTATGGGGAAGTTATCTGATAACTTTGGTGAACGGGGTTGTATTGATCTTGGAATATCAAAGGCAGCCACGGTAGAGGAAGTCCTGAGTACTCACAAAGGAAGACGGCGCCGTGTGGAAAATCTCAATAAGGTTGAAGCTGAAATAGAAGAAATAAGATTGAAGAGGAAACCAGAGGAGGATGATGTGAATTTATGGAGATGGAAAACAGGTTTTAAAAGGAAATTCTCTTCAAATGAGACTTGGAAACTCTTGAGAGTCGAGCAACCTATCTGCAGTTGGGCTAAGGGTGTTTGGTTCTCTGAAGCTACACCAAAATATGCCTTCATCACGTGGCTTGCAATGCATGACAGATTAACTACGGGGGTTCGTATGGGGAAGTGGAATGCACAAGTAGACGTCTCGTGTAAACTCTGCGATGAACCGGTAGAAACAAGAAACCATCTTTTCTTCCAATGCAGCTATTCAAGACAGATTTGGGAGACATTAGCAAAGGGATTACTACAAAACAGATACACATTGGAGTGGGATCAACTCATGTTGCTCATCTCAAGTAACACACTCAAACAGAAGGCACGTTTGCTTCTGCGATATGCCTTTCAAATCACAGTCCACACTTTATGGAGAGAGAGGAACAATCGACGGCATGGAGAAGACCCTATCACAGCATCGATCCTTGGGAAAACCATCGACAAGAACATTCGCAACCGGATCACTCTTCTTCGGAAAACCGGATACGCAAAGTATGAAGACCTTTTCACATTTTGGCTTTCCACTAAGATTTGAATTGTACACTCAATGTCAAAAACCTCAAAAATGATGCACTTGATGTAACACTGGTTTTTTTGGTGAATAAATTTTACATTCATTCAAAAAAAAAAAAAAAAAAAAAAAAAAAAGTTCGAAGAAAGGAAGACAAAAAGCAAGAAAACAAATCGAAAACGAAAAGAGCTTAGGAAGTCCCGACGCCGGCGAGCAAAAACTACACCGGCGTCGGAAGACATTAACGTGAGAGATGTCTCGATATTCGTGCCCGGGAGCCGATTTTTACTTTTTAATTTTTATGCGTTCTTTTATAATTATGGTTTTCATGTTATTTCTCGAATTTTCTCAGGGCAAAATGAAAGGTTTCATAATTATTTTCTTATGTCACTTGTAAGTTGTAACTAATTGGTAAAGTGGTATTATACATGTTTATACTCATTTCTTCAACGCTAGTTCTACTTTAGTAAATTATATATATTTTAAGTTCTATTTAGGTAAACTACCCTACTTTTTATAAATGATGACGAAACAGTGGCTTTTATTGGTATCAACTAGTATCATTAATGGTACAAATTGTACAAATACATATGTAACCAATGATAAAGATTATTCAAAAATGGGCATTACAACTTGTATCTGTTAAAAGGAGTAGTACAAGTTTAAAGCAACAAAAATTGGATTGAATAAAATAAAGTAACATTAAAATGTGGTGATAGGAATATGTATTGATTTTATGAATTATTATTGGTTGCTTTAAATTAATTATTTTAGTTATTTAGATTACTATTTTTCCTATAACATGAGATTTATCTCATAATTTTAATCTAATTTTTAAATAATATATTATGTTTTAATATATCTTTTTCTTCACAGTTTAATTTATATTATCGTTTAAAATAATTCGTTTAACATATTTTAACTTAATTATCTTTTGTTCTTTTCTAAACAAAAATCAATTATATTTCGATCTACTTTCTAATATCTAAATGTTTAGTGATTATTTAAAAATATAAAATCCACATATAGTAGTGAAAATTAATTTATTAAAAAATTATGAAATGATATTTAAATAAAACTGATTTAACTTTTCTATTTTAAATATATTACTTTCGTTTCATTCAATTAAATATATTTTTCATACTAAATTTTAGTTTTTATTATCTCTACCAATTTGTACTACTTTAACGTTATTAATCAAATTTTATGTTTGTACATCTCTATTTGTATTGTTTTTTTGTACCACCACTATTTATATTTATATCTATAGTGCAACCTTAAAACTTCTTAATGCCTCACTATATTGTATGTCACTAATAAAAGCCAACATTATTTTAATGTTCATGCACCACGTCAGCAATATTAATACATTTGTATAAAATTAAATGACTAGTAAGATAATAAACACAAGATA